TTAGCTATGGTATAAAATTCCTCACTGGGGCATTATAAAGAGTATCTATAGCAGATGAGCATACCACAATCAATTACATATGTAAATGTATGTATGATTCCTAAATCCTTCATGTGTGCATCATTGAAATACCTGTAGCTGGAATTCTGAAGGTATAGGAGAAAAAAATACTTCTTCAAATTCCAACTCATCTACAAATATACCACCCTTCGGTGTGTTACTTTAGTTTAAAGAGATCCTGAAATTATCTACTCATCATCTCAACAGTGTAAACGAAGACAGTTTCAAATTCTAACAAGAAAATTGAAATATAAAAGAAATACAAGAGTAAAGAAGAGTTTAAGTTTATCAGATGATCTAATAATTCAATTGTAACATGATTTACAACTACATGAAAGCGAGCTCATACACAAAACGCTTATAACTGCATTATTAAAATGAATATATATATAGCAACCTTAAACGATCGATCACCGCTAGAACTTGTTATGTTATTCAGTCTTCAATAGATTTTCAGCAAAACTACCCAATCAGATTTACTGCACGTTTACCATTTTGACACGCCGAACTTAAGAGCGATTTTACCAAATATTTATAGAAAGGTGATCGACACTACAATTCAAACTGTCAGGTCAGTATGGATTTCTCAGTTCAATTTGCGGCAAAATCTCTGCACAGCCCAATACTCCTAATTCCAAAATGGCGGCCATCCGAGGTGAGCTGGGCCGAGAACACATAAGCGAGGCATCAAGGGCTACTCTCATCGAGCTAGAGAATGGCGTCTTTCGACAACATGTCGTTGTACGGTCCTTAGTTTTTAACTGAAGAGGATATCCCTGGAAGCTCTTTAAATGGAAGAGATCCTAGTCAATTGAAAAATTCGGAGTTAAAGTTTTGGCTCCAATGTCGGGGTGATAGTTGCAAAGGGTTGTCCACAAAAGCGCAACTTTGCAAACGGTAAGAAATCTTTTGGGTTTGTGGCTTGAAAACAATGGTTGTTATGGCCTTGCAGCTCATAGGGTTTGTTCTCTTTCAGAGTGAAGGACTATGTACAAGCAGGTGTTTCTCATCTGCTTGTAGATCCCGATGATAATTTCATCTACATGAAGCATAAAGGCAATAGACTTTCGAGTGGGAACGAAAGAAATGAACTCACTGAGTCAAACTTGTGTGCACTTGAAAACGTCAAGAACGTGGCTTTTCCCGTGAACAGCTGGAGCACGTCGCTGGCTAAAAGCCCCATTTTACCCGAGCAGAAATAGACAGACATATGAGTAACTCAGGAAAGAAGTATCGAAACATCGGACATCATTCACTACCATCAGGACTGAACAAAGCCAAGGCATTTCTGGAAGATGAATATTTACACGAAATACAAACTCACTGTGATCAAAGATATTTCTATTTCTGCGCAAAGTGCTTTCACAGTTTTAAGGTCCATGAGACACCACACAATTTAAAGCTTGCTTTGTGTATTGTGTCTGGAGACGTGGAGTATGCCCACTGTGGACCAAGTTGTGCTGCTGGGAAATCAGGCTTTTGCAACCACATTTTGGCTCTGATGATGAAGATATGTAAATACTCTTTATATGACTGCAAAGATGTTCGGGACCTGAAGGACAAGGAAGATGAAAATCCAAGCAAAGTGTGTACTTCAGCATTACAGAATTGGCACAGATCAAGAATGGATGATGTGAGTTCGCAACCTGTCATGCAAGTTGTTGTTTCCAATCCTGTTAATAGAGCTGAGAAGGCAGGGCACGGAGGCAAGAAGACTGGAGTGACCTGCCTCTTGACTGAAGCAAGTAGAGGGAGAAGTAATCAGAAAGAAAAACTGAAGGACTTGGTGAAGTCTCTCGAAGAACATAGTCCTAAACTTGGCATAATTCAAGTTGTTGATACCACAAGTGTTGATGCATTACCTGCTATTAGGTGTATAATTCATTATGTATTCATATATGGACTTTATTATTTAATAAATCACCAACAAGATGTGCATGCATAATGAAGTATGGGGCTGTGTGGAAATTTTTACTGATTTTCCATGCATTTGTTCAAAAATGCTCCCTTACCGTAATCTTCTTGGCCATCGCGGTCATTGTCGTATTTCTTGCGAAATCCAGCGCCGTCTCCTTCTGCCATATTTGTCTGAAAACTTAAATACTTTTTCTGTTATTCTAGAAAATTATCCAAGGCACAAGAAAAAGTTTGAGGAATGTTTAAAGCTGAATTCATGAAATAGCTTTACGTTTCAGCATTATTAAGCTTAGCTTTCAGCTGAGGTGTTTTATGTTTTGAACAACAGTTCAAAACGTGACATAAGCGTTAGGCCTTCTCTGAGATCTTAAGTCGCCCTAAGTTGCCTAAAGTCGCCTAAAGTCGCCTAAAGTCACCTTAAGTTTCCTTAGGTTGCTATTGGTTATGCAATGTCATAAGGGTTCCACCCTTCCCAATTGACCTTATCTACTCCACTTCAATCATAGTTTTCTACAGCTAGAAAAGTAGTTGGAGAGACTGGATAGGAAGTAGTTTTACGAAGTCACTTCTGTATTCAAATACAAGACTAGTTGTTTAAAGAGAGGTTCTAATAATGTTTGCACTAACTTAGTAACATGTTCTCTGCGGAGTTGCTAATAAGCTTGTTCGAGTTTAGGATATCGTTCATATCAATTTGTTATTTATACGCGAGGTGCTAAGGTTGATTGCGAAGAACTGAATAACCACTGGCTGTGCATATGAGATCAAAGGAGAAAGATTAGTCCTTACAATTAAACCATTACAGAATGCCAATATAAAGTTCACATTATGGATGGTAGGCATTTTCCTCCTGGTAAAACATCGCTGAAAATGTCAGTGCGATTAGAGAATGTAAAGGCCTACTCTGAGACCTTAAGTCGCCTTAAATCGCCCAAAGTCGCAATATTTTTTGTGCCAATTTTGCTAAAGTCGGTTAAAGTAGCGTTATTTACACTGACGTATGACACGCTTCACAAAACAGGACTTTTCGAAGCGACATCTGGACCTCTAGAACTCTGAAAATATGCCAATGTCACAACCCATGAGTAACTAAACCAGTTCTTTGTTCTTTTTTCAACCACTGAATATACTTTTGGATTGTGGTGCGAGTCTTTCGCCCCTGTTAGGTTTGATTTGTGTCTGACAAATCCAAGAGGGACCGTGTCTTTCGGTCACAGAAATGATGACCAATGCAAATTTTCTCAAAGTCCTCACTGAGCAATGCGAGTTTCCACCATTTTGACTCTAGATCGAATAGACTTCGATGCCATTTTTCAACCAAAAAAAATTATATCTGTCTAGAAAGCTATATGCACTCACCTTTGGACTTTGGAAGACTGCTGACGCCTGACACGCTTCACAAAACAGGACTTTTCGAAGCAATCTCTGGACCTCTAGAACTCTGAAAATATGCGAATATCACAACCCATGAGTTAATGAACCAGTTCTTTGTTCTTTTCTCAACCACTGAATATACTTTTGGATTGTGGTGTGAGTTTTTCGCGCCCAGTTAGGTCAGTTAGGTTTGATTTGTGTCTGACTAGTTGGATCGTGTTTTTCAGTCGAAGAAATCGATGACTGAGCAATGCCAGTTTCCACTATTTTGACTCTAGATCGAATAGACTTCGATGCAATTTTTTAACAAATAAACTTAAATCTATCTAGAAAGCTATATGCACTCACATTTGGACTTTGAGTGACACTTCTTAGCGTGGAAGAAACCCCACTACCTAGTTCCTTCCCGTTTTTGTTCTACCCCCAACGAACTTTCGGCAATCCTTTGCGTACTTTTCGGCAATCCTTTGCGAGCCGTCTTCTCAAATATCGAGCTTTTTCCTGCGACGGCGAATTTTCCTACGAATTTTCCTGCGAATTTTCCTCTCAATATACGCGGGGACTTCTAAGGTGCCTCCTCGGGTTTTGGCCGTCTGGGCCAAAACTCTGCGGCTGCAATGAGAGCTCCGCTTTTAGGCTTGGCTAAATCTATATATTATATAATCAAACTAATCTATTCATAACTGAAAGGGCCTCACTCAAGTCATAGTTAGTCTCCTCTACTAACTATGCTCAAGTATAATATTTTTCAAGCTTTTTTATACTGAGCCGCTGAGGTATGTTACCCTATTTAAAGGCAGTTCGGTCTACGGAGTGTTCGCAAGGGCTAAAAATACTTTGATGAGGCATATCTGAGAAGAAAATTGTAATTCCTACACTTGTTTCGGTAAGGTTACAGTTTTCAGCAAAATCCAAGATGGCGTCCATTCTGACATGTTTCGACTTGACTACATTTGCTCTCTTTACGAGAATCACAACACAAACAAGCACACGTTCGTATGAGATAGCTTGTAATGAGTGTCGATTCTCTCTTCTAAAACGGCAAGCACTGAACAAACTGAGTATCTAGGGGAAACACTCTACTGGCATCGATCAACGTGCACGCTCACACGCGAAGTCATTTGACAAAAAATCCAAACCAGAGCCCAGTTGTATAAAGGCCGATGTGCTAACCCAGGGTTAAATTTCAATCCAGGTTTCTATATTTCTTTTTTCCAAAGCCTTTTAGAGAAAATTTTCCCTATTCTTATTAGAACATCCAATGATCAAATTGCAAGCAAAAAGATTTAATTGGCCTTTTCTTACAGAGATCCGAGAAAAACTTCCCCCTTCTAGCCGGTCAGACACTTTCCATGCATGTAAATTAAGAGAATTCAGGGCAAAATTCCGGCCTTTTGGCTGATAGCCTCCTAACTCCAATCACCAGCGTGTTTTACAATGTATTTGAATATTGAAATAATGTAAGGAGAAGATAAAGGTTGATCGCATCCGGGAAAAAAA